AACACATTTTTCGATCCAGTGTGTTCATAAATGATCAGAGAACATTTAGTGAATAATGAATCATCCTCTCATTACCGCGTGCTTGATCAAAAACAAATATGACTGAATATGAATCAGCTGGCATCTTACTATTGGTCACCATAGTTTTACAGCATTGAATACGTTTTGATTGAGAGACATTTTTTCAGTTCATGACTTGAATTCGATCATTAAATTTTCCACTCGTCAACTTATTTTTCTTTTATCTCTTCGATAAATTTGCGCGGTTAAGTGAGTATTTAGAATGAAAGTTCTAAATTATCGGTACGCAATTGGTGGGATATATTTTGCTGAAATGTACAATTAATTGCAAACTTGTTCGATATATTACCCAATAATAGCTATTATTATCGTAATTTGTAGAACTAATGATGATGATTAACGAAAAAATAATAGCAAACCATTCCTTGCAGGAGGATTTAGCAAGTTCACTACCAACCTGTAATGAGTCATTTGGTAGTCTTTCACGATCGGTGCGCATGAAGCGTTCTGTATCGTCATTGAAGCCTTCGCTTGGCGGTCAACGCTGTGACATTACCAACGAAAATCAGTGTATTGTTGAGGCGAAGCAGGTTCGTGCTGCTTATTTCTGATTCTGTCATTAAACTTCTGTCATCACCACTGTGCAGAAAGACTTTTGAGTAGTAGTGTGGCTGTTAAGTAATTGAATTGTTGCTAAATTCCCTCATCAGCTACGAACCGATTACTGTGGTACATTTTCGCTTACAATTAGTGTAATATTCCACTCTGTCAATCCTCTTCAGTGCTATCAACGAGATATGACAGTGGTCACACTGGAAGACACCCAATTCAGTCATGTTATCTCTTATTATCATAAAAGAAAGAATATGCTATCTCTCATTATATAATCTCCAAAACTGAATCGAAAATCGCACGTTCTTAGTTTTTATACATTGCCTTTGTCGGTGCAATGCGGAGGCAAAGTATATAAACGTTTTCAATATGCGTTTTATGAATGCATATTTGCTTGTAATGTGATTTTGCTGCCGTTCACATCGAAATTTAAAATGGCTCCCATCTATACGTTTGTATAATATTTCAGATTGAAATTGATTTCGCATCAATAACGTCCAAGCCTTTCATGGTACGTATAAGTGCACCGAATGGTGAGGTAAGCAGCCTGCTGCAATTCCCCAGCTATGGCTGCTCGAACTATTTTTGTCCAAAAATGCCCGGATGTGGTCACGGCATGTGGACATTTGAGGTTATCGAAGAGAATGGATCTCGGTGAGTGCTTAAATTCACTGAATTTCAATTTTTTAGGAATAATTTGATTTCAGCTCGATTCGTTTTTTATTCCATTTATGCGAACAGTAATAAGTATAACTTTAAGTATTGTGCCTCTGTCTTATTGTGCGTTTTGCGTCTGCATTGTCATTCAGTTCAGCTTGAACGTCACCAGTCTTGTGCACTCTTGCCGCTTGAATCTAACGTTTGTTAGTGTTCTCAGAGCATCGGAGTGTAGCGATCCGATCAAATTTTAGGTCAAACAACGTCTTCGTTCCTTAGCAATTCATCATCAGCATTTCGAAATCTTGCAGTCTTTTCTATGTTAAACTCGTGACAGTTGCATCACGAACGTTGCGTTGCACTTTGACTGGTATTTTAATTTGAGCACTTCAAAATTCGCACTTTGGATGTGAAACATAACTCATAATATTTATCGTTTATTCAGTGGAATTGTGACGTTGAAAAGAATTCATCATAATCAAATGATTTCGTGGAAAAATAATCATTCGTTTGAGGTACACACAGTAAGTTGTATTTACTAGGCGAGTGGCACATATTCAAGTTAATCTGAACACTTGAAGTGATGAACACGAAACGTTCGTTTATTCATGTAACTGACTGCTCAGAAAGTTTATTTGCAAACATTGCACTTAATTGTGAATGTATCGTTGACTGAATCGCAAGTATTTATAATGTACACTAATCAAGTTTATGGGGTTAAGTGAAGTTTATGGGCTTATTTTTAGCTTTGCTGTAGTTTTTAGTGATCATTTCTTAACGTCTGAAATACTGTCAATCTTATGTTTTTGCCAATCAATCGTTTACGAGTCTCAATTTTTTGAACTTTTTCAAACATCTTTCTCATCACCATTCGAGCATCATATCCTATCATAATCGTACCATATCACAAGACATGATTTAGAAAGTATTTACTCGACATTTCGTTATGTATTATGATCTCGTCCTGAATGCGTTAATTTCAGAATCGTAACAATCGCATCGCAAACGATGTATTTGGACGGAGTCGGTTCGCTCTTCTTCACTGTGGCCGATGACTTTCGACCACGTCTTTCATCTCAAGAATTTCTTCGTCTACCCTCAGCAAGCCGATGCTGCGGCAAGCAAAGACTTCTTGAGCAGTCATGCTGATATATTTACCTAAGAGCTTTAGATTTGTTGCGAACGTGTTGTACTGAAACATAGACTTTGATAATGGGTTGATTCTAAATTTAGAATTTGATTTTAAAAAAACTGTTGTTGCTTGGGAAAAATTGCTGTTATAATTGAACGAGAATCGGCGCACGCTTCTAGTAGCGTGCATGATACTTGCATGGGTTTACCATATTGTAGTTGGTTATGTCTTTATCAAGTGTTCGTGTTTTGAAACATCAAAAGTTTTGCATTCATTTGATGCATTTAGTACAACACGATCTTGCTTCTGTATGCATACGTATTTATTTACCACTCATATTTTCATTAACACATCACTTTGTTCGTTTCCAAGTCTACCTTGGGCTCTAATTTGTTCTCAGAAGTTCAATTTTTTTTTTAA